CCTCCCACCTGATCGTATAATATTCTTTGAAATTTTTCGCTTCCTCGATCGACTTTTTACGATATTTTATACACGGAGACAGAGAGAGGAAAAAGCAATCTATAATTTGCGCGATTTCTACGCTTTTGAATTTCAAACTTTTATACCTTCGACATCGTAATGTAAAGCATCGGCGAGAGAAAGTGTTCCGAGCAAGTTTGTAATTTGCGAAAGAGAGAAAGACACCGAAAGAGAGAGAGAGAGAGAGAGAGAGGCCGCGAGGAATTAGCGTTTGACTGATGAGATTTTTTTTAGCCGTTGTTGCTGCTCGTGCCGATATTCACGCGCAGTTAAAAGACTGCACAAAATGCGATGGTGCCACAATCTAACGGAAAAGGAACGACCAAAAACGTGCGCACGCCAAAGCGCAGAGAGAGAGAGAAAAAGAAAGAGAGAACAACGACCTCACCGAAATCAGGGTCACTAGCCTTTGTTTCATCAATGCGTACATATATAAAAATATGAAAAAATTCACAAAGACCTGTATTTTTTATTTAGATACAGGAAAAAAAAGACGAAGAGGAAGAAGAGTATCAATCGAAATACTATCCTCCCGCGTGCGTGCTCGCGTACGCACGGTGCTCTTGAACCGATGTGTATATATAATTCACGCACCAAAGTCAATCGAGAACGAAAACATGACTTCATCGCGTGCGCGTCGTTAAAAACGTATGTCCTCGAAAAGCTGTCGCGTGCTGATTAAGCTATTTGAAAATTCATTCGGTGGCGGTGCCGAGTATTTTTCACGTCGAATTAAAACACGATGTGCTCGTACATGTACACTTTTTACCGATCCTATTTTTTGACGCTTGCAAATATAATAATGTGGATTTGAGAATATGAGACGATGAGGTAATCCGCTCGCGACGACGACGGCGGGGCTTTCAAAATATTTTTAATTTTAACGCGCGAGACCGTATTTAAAACGCGAAATCATAATATAATTATTAGCATTTTGTTGTAATGAAAGAAAAAAATAATATTAAAACGCTCTATCAGTACACTTTACCGATTTAACTCAAGGTAGAATTCGCAGCCTCAGATATATCGCTTGCTCGACAACTGGATTTTGAAATAATCCCGCCTTCCGCTGAATTTTAATATTTGCGCATTTGTAATAAGCGAAACATTAAAGCCTATTTCAAAGGTATACTTTTCAATAAGCCCGGCTGCTCCTCAGAATTTACTCTGCAAGATGGGCATAACCCTACAGTGCGACCGATACATTTTATTTATTAATTTTTTTCTTACGAATGTATCATAAAAAATCGTTTTTTTTATACTTTGATCAAAAACCCAGAGCCATAAATATTTTTTCTGGTCTATTGAGAAAAACCAGTTGATTTGAGAAAATATATGTGTTGGAATTTCGCTCTATAATCTCCGAAAGATGTGTATAAATTACTCACACGTTCACCGGCCTCAACCACAGCAAACACTTGTATATAGGCGAACACGTTATGTTCGTCGCTCATTAAAATTCAATGGCATACATATTAAGACTCTATACGGCGATTTAATAGGAAAGCAGAGTAATAGACACTAATAGCATTACCGTAATTATTGCCGTGTATCGATGCGCGAGAAGTAAAAAAAAAGGCAAGCGAAACACGAGCGCACAGGTTTCTTTCCTTTCTTTCTTTCTTTCCTCCTCCTTTTTTTTCTATTTACTTTTGGCCGTGCGCACGTGCCGTCGTTTGAAAGGTCATTGAACGTGTCGAGCAAGTTTTGTGTATTAGTATACGAGAGTGTGCGTTTGAAAAGATAGAAAGTAATTTGCATAGAGCGCGGAGATAAAGGTGACTCTTTATAGCGAACGAAAATCGATGCCGGATTAATCATCGAGAGTACGGAACTGCACGGCGCAAAATCAAACGTACATAATATACGCGTCGCGCATAGAGACAGAGAGATGCCCGCAAGACAATATAATCAGTGCTGCTCTCGGACATTATACTGGCGCTCGTATAATACATAATGTATGTGACGAAATTACGGTTTATGATATCTCTGTCTCTCTCTCTTTTTGCTCATAACGAATCAAAATCCCCTGACCTAAAATTTAATCACTATCGCTTCTCAGATTCTCACAGAAGTACACTCCGGGCGAACTAATATTTTAGCCGCGTTATTAATCAATTCCCATTACGCGAATATCGTAGCCGCGAGTACACTGACTGATAATACAAATAGCATACATTGCCAAAATACATCGATGATTTTTACTTTTGAAATGCCCAAGTACAAATAATGAAAAAAAAATAACGTAGCTGAATCATTGAATCAATGATACACACAGAGTCGTCGAGCTTGCAGAACAAATGGACTGTGTTTGTGCGCCGGGGTTCGTCTAAGTCCCTGCGTATAATAGCCTATCAACGAGTACATCGAATAACGCACCGATGAGATTTGCCGTTAAGAATCTAACAAGTCTAAATGCGGCTCTCAGACGGTCAATGACCAACCGTCCGCGCACGTATATACGCCTGTGCGTGTATACGAAAATCATGGCTCACTGGCTAATGTTATTATATACAGCAAGTACCGCTGCTTCGTGTTCATTAGATTCAATGACGCGAGAAAGTATGTCTTGTTTCTAAGTCAATATATAGGTGACGCGAATTCTCATTACAGTTATTCAATGTTTACACTTGCCACAGAATTCAGTATGGATTATATAATTCGTAACTGGTGCGGCGGATATTCGATGATGATCGTGTTTCTATCGAGCACCTCGTAACGCAGAAACTAATTATGTTAATGGTACATAGCTAACGGTAACTGGACTTTAAATTTTTAGAATACATATATCCATTTTGTGGAGCATGTGTGTGTACGCCAGCGAGTACACGCACTCACGTGCCCGTTAATTTTTAACGCCTTCGTCTAAGTATGCGGACCTTATAACGCAGAGAGCAGAGCTGTGGCCGCGCGCACTTCCGTATTATAGCAGTGCTGCACTGCTCTGCTCTGCTCCGCTCTGTGTGAAGTGCGAACGCCCAAAGGTTATACGATTGCGACTATACTACGCGGAGTAGTCACGTCCTGCTACGTATACTGACTTGTGTTTACGCGCTCTCGTGCTAATGCACACGACGAGAAAGCGATTCATCTCACAAAGCACAGCGCAGCAGAACTTGGCAAGGCAAATTTACGCCTTTGCTTTTCGAGCTCTTGGGTCGTCGTCGTCGTCGTCGCGGTGAACAATTTTATTTTTCAGCGTGACGCATTCTAAAAGCAACTATAATACACGACCTTTTTCGGTATCAAAAGAGAAAATGTTTACGCGCGATATATAATTTATAATGGAAAGCATTAGGCTCTTTTTTATCAATCTTTTTTTAGTAATTGTTGATCGAGCTGCGCGTCAATAATTCGCGTTTTAACTGATGTCACTTTATAATCTATTACAATGACTGATGAGTCAGAAGAAAAATATTCAACGCACAAGTATATATAAAAGATTAAGATCGAGAAAGAAAGTTTTGTACTCGATATACACATACGGAATGATTTAAATTTGATAACGTGTTTACGTTTTATGACTCTCGAAATGATTATTATGCATAGTGGCCGAAACAACTGGACACGAAGATCATAGCTAATAAAAGATCACCGATTTTTTTACGCTCGTTTTCATTGAACACCACCATCATGAACAGTTTACAAATTGAGTAGATTTATTTTCAGAAATGCGGGTACGCGACGGGCAGGTATTTCAAAAGCGTATATACGTTCATTTTTGGAATCTCCGTGACCCGGAGTTGTTTTACTATTACTTTTAAAACTTCGTTATCAAGATTATTTTAAAAATTTTTATTATGCGAAGATAAAGAGGCGTTATTATACTCGGTAATAATTTATGAGAATAAAAATATGCATACTATTTAATCATAATCCGGTAGATTAACTTGTTAAAATTTAGCGAAGCGTTCGAAATGTAAGGAAAAAAAGTTGAACGCCAAATAAAAATAATTCCTAAACTCGAAACCTTTTTTTTTCCTATCGATAGAAATCGATCGACGTACATAAGTACATTCGATAAATGCCGCTGTGCTACACTACTACTACATGACATAATAAAGTTCGCCTCCGATAATTTCCAGTAGAACGAACTCGTGCGTAGTCAGACGGTTTTCTCTCGTTGCGCGAGCGCGCGCGAGATGAAAATTTGTCATACTTACTCCTGCGCTGTACGCGCGCGAGCCGTGTGTAAAACTTTTCCGCTGAAATGTACGTATACGTACGTACTTTGACTCGCGAGGCACATACTTATATATAAAAAAATCGATACAACGTATATGTACGAAAGAGAGCTCGGCATTGCACATATCGGTTCACCGGAAAACGCTTGTGAAGTTATTTATTCAGCAGTATTATAATATACATTCGATTATTCGATATGCACGTGTGCGTGAAAATTCTGTTGCGCTGCAGCAGTGGCGAAACAGACCCTGAATAATCCGAATTCTTTTCAGTGGCTGTGTAATTTACTTTTTTATTGTATTCTAAACATTCTCGAGGCTCGAGGTTGTTGTACCGAAAAACATCTCTGCTCGAGTTTCAACTTAATCTTCGTTTTTTCTTTCACGGTACACGCCTGATGATAAAAAAAATTGGATAAAGTGTCCATTCGCCGCTTACTTACGCGTCAATTTAGAGAAACTGTGCTTGTACTGCCGCGCAAAATAATTTACCAACTTAATCAGAGAATCGAGAATTCCCTTTGAAAAGTTACACTCACTCGCGCACGAAGAGAGTAAGTATAAGGAAACGAGAGTTGCGAAATGCGCCGTATGAAAAACTTTCTGGAGGCGAATGAAATATTAAAAGAAAAGTACATGTGGCTTTTCGAGAGTGCAGTAGTTGTAGTTCACCCTACTATGATCATCTAAAATAAAACTTTTTCGCGTAGTTAAATAAAAAAAAAGCCATCATCTTTTTTATTCTTTATGTTACAGCTTGTAAACGGCATGGATGGAACGAGATACATCTGCGAGTCGGAAATGATGGAGGAAGAAGTGGGCCTGGGTCGAGGTAACAGCGGCGGTGGCGGCAACAACGTCGAGTTCACCTCGGCCGGCAGCCTGACGAGCAAGAACGCTAACGGCAACATTATTACCCTGACGCTAAAAAATAACCACCTCATAGTCGAGACCGAGGAAAGAGCGGTAAGAGCTGGAGTAGAGTAGTTCATTTCGCTGCGACCATTGTCTGCAGCTAGAGCTCTTCAATTAATTCACGTGTCTCATTTAGCTCAGCCCGTAAACGACTTATTTAGCTCGAGCTTAACCCTTTTTTTTACCGCTTCCAGTTTTTACAGCCCCCCATCTTAATTTGTAAACGCAGACCCTTGAAAAACTCGAGGGCGAAGAAAATCAATGATATTTTTTCGAGACGACTCGGTGGATTTTTTAATAAGACGAAGATCTTTTCGAATCGAAGAAAAATGTCGTTGAACTTTTGCCCGCGCGCTTGCAGACGCTAGTAGGGCACGAGTATTTTTCTCCCTTCGCTCTGTATGCGCATAAGTAGCATAATATATTCCAGCTCCGGTCTCCCCCGCGCACTTTTCTACACCTTCTCGCTCTCATTCTCTCTATCCCTTCAATTTTTTTCTCTCCAACTCTCGGCTGCTGCAGAGCGCAGTTATATAGGTTGCGAAATCTTTTCTTCCAGGTTTTCTTATATATGCACACAATGTAGTTTCTACGCGTGTATATAGGATTCTGTGTTGCGAGCTTTAACCTTTAAGTGTTGATATATACGTGCTGCATAAAGGAGCTTGTGCATTCCAAAAGAGGATTTCAAAAAGCTTTTTTCAACCTTACACTTATCGCCTTTCGAGGATGAGAAAAAATAACACGTAGCTCGCGATTGCATTTGCATCGATGCACCGTAGCAGTGGCGGCAGCAACATCAGCCTCTCGCTCGCTCGAGAAGATTTTAATTCGAGTAATGAGTATGTACTTGGACTAAATAATTGCAGGCTGGAAGTGCAATTAAACTTGGAGGTTAAGGCGAAGACAATATTGCAGTTTAAGGCACTCCCGAAAGTGCACTTGTAACAAAGATTACGAGTAGCAATGACGCCTTATATTTGTCGCGCAGGTAGCAGCGGCAGCCTAGCCCCAAAGTAAGAGTAGTAGTAGTAGTAGTAAGGGAAACATAGTTAAACTTTGCGCCATGGAACTTTACGATTCAAATTCGCCTGCACTCACCCGCGCGCGTGCAGCAAGTGCTTAACCGTACACACACACACACACACACACACACACACATATAGCTCTGGTTTATTTTCTTATTCTCTTTGAAATGTGTGTTGCCCTACACGCGCGCGAGCCGCGTATATAAGCAAGTAATTAAGGTCCGCGCGCGCAAGAAGACAAGAGTTTACCCTAGAAGCGAGCAGCCTTTTTACAAGACTATTAAAAAGTTTGCGCGAAAACCTTGACAAGATGTGCTGCTGCCGCTGCATCGCGTGACTCTCTCTCTCTCTCTCTCTCTGCCCGCGAACTTTCTCATAACAAACAAACTTTTCGTATATACAAAAGCTTTATAAGTGCTGGAGACGATCCGTTTCTCGCGGGATTCTTGTTTCTAGAATATCATTGACGAATGAAATATATTCTTCCGATTCGTTGCGAGATTTCATTTCGAAGCGAAATTGAGATATGTATACTGAGACGTTCAGACCAGTAGAATATTTCGTATAACTTACCTATGCGCCTACCTATATACACTACTGACGTACTGCGCATCGCCATAGGCCATACGTGCATGTAACTTTTCGACGGCAAGCTTCATTCGATATATTACATATCGAAGCTCGAGTACGGTAATGCACTCCCCCGAAGTGCATCAGCCAGACTCGAGAATCTTCGCTACAGGCTGTGGGCGATTTTAGAGCTCGCGAGCTTGCGAGATCCGAAATTTCTAGTGCCTCGAAGTAGTAGGAAGCGCTGCATCTCTCTCCTCGATGCTGCTGCTCCGCGCACTTATTTGTACGCCTTTTTTTTCTCGAAGTTTCTAGGCGCTCGCGCGTATGAACAAAACTTTAGACCGAGGGAGAGAATATGTATTTCTATTAAGAGCGGAATAATAGTAGACAAAGTACATAAAGTATGTAAAAGCATAGAGCAGCCAGCCAAGTCTTGGGCGAGGAGTTTTCTTACATTACGCGCTCCTAGCCTACGTTTCTAATGTTAATAATACAATGAAAGAAGCTCTATATGTAAGACGTAAAGTTTCCTCAATTGTAAATATAATTTGTGCGCTCTCTGCTCGAGCACACACAGCTAGAAGCAGCAGCGTAGAAAGTTTTGACGCTGAATTAAATTTTGCGTGCAAAACATATGTTTTTGAGTGTTTAAAAAAAATTTTTCGAAATATATATTAAATTATATCACGCGAAGCTCTCTTTGTATACATGTTTTTGCTCGCATAGTTTCGTATTATGTATATTTTTTATTGATAATAAATCGAGTTGGAAATCCGCGAGTTTTTATCATAATCGTATACATCTGCCATAATTTCAATATTGTTAACGTTAGTTACATTACGCCCGAGACCCACACTCATTTCGTTGCGTCAACAATAATTCAACGCGAGATAAATATATTAACTTGGTGAAAGCTACTGTAATTCAAGTTAGTGTAATCGTGCATTATCGCGGGAGGCAATAATTCAAAATCAGATGTACGTCGCCCGCACTTGGATTACATTACGGCGCTCGAGACAAAAGTTGATCAATATAATATAAACGTAAAAGTTGCAAAATCGAGGCAAAAGCTTAGCGAAAGATTATCGGAAGCTCTCGGTGCGTTGCGAAACGCGTTTATATACGGAATTAAATACATAAACTGTATCAGTTTTATTAAACGAAATACTTTGATAGTCGAGGCTTTTCCTATGTACATTTTCCAAATCAAACATTTAAGCGACGATAAATGTAAGAAAAGATAATAAATCACAAATGCACATGTGCTTTGCAAAAAAAAAAAAAAAAAATGACGCATCGACGAGCAGCAGCAAAAAAAGTAGAAGCACATATATGGAGTTGATGATACGTGCAATTACATAAGAGCGCCAATAACACATCAATCGAATGATAAATAAAAAAAAAACAATCACGTTGATTTATTTATTTTTTTGTAGGTCACAATGGAAGACACGAGAGTCGGAAAATATCAGGACAATGGCTGCTCGGTAATCGTGGAGGTGCCGCCAGGCTATCAGGACGAAGCTAGCGGCGCTAATAATAACAAGATTGCCTCCTCGGCAGCGGATCAGCAGCAAGCTCGGGCTTATCGAGAGGAAACATCATCGGCCGCGCGATCCACTTCCGGTGAGGAATCATCATCATAACATACATGGATGATATAGCTTTCTAATTATCGATGTATACCTATATCCGGATGGTGCCGCGGATGGAGATGTGATATGGATGGGCTCTAAGTCGAGTGAAAATAAATATAAATACTGCTATATACTTCGGAGCTAAAATCGTTTTGCGCGACCGACGACTAACGGGCAGCCCTGGCTATCTCTCGGAGAGGCTCTCCGAAGAGAGAAAAGACGAGAGGGTCTATATACGTGGAGTGTACGTTTGGAAGCACACACGTTGCATCGTACATATAGATGTATGTGGGTGTGTGTGTTAGTGCAGCAGCGAGTGTCCGCGTTAGCTGTTGACCCAGTTTAAGCTTGCAGCGGCAGTAGCATCAGAGGAAGATAGGCGCGCGCGATTCTCTCCTATACACAACGTTGTGTGTATATATATCTCTAAGCTCGACTCCCTACTTCTTAATGTATTTATAGCTAAATTGCAGCTGCACCAAGACTCTGTTTGTGCGTTTATATAGTGTGCATCGCTGCAGCAGCATCTACTTCTGCTGCTGCGGCGGCCTCTTCGCATCTTGCGCAAGCACTACACAGTACACACACACACACACACAGACTCACTCGTGTAGCCTAACTATACTTACATATACGTATGTGTGCGTGTGTGTACTCTTATGTACATATAGCTCTTTCCTCTCTGATAACACTCACATAGACAAGCGGGAAGAGGCAAAATCCTCGAGATTTTCGCTGTCACTGTTGTGCCACCATTGTGTTACTACACTGCTATTGCATTATTCGCTCACGCGACTTAACGGGAGAAAAAATTGAAATGTCGCTTTTTTCATATTTCACGCCTTGCTGCCTAGAGCTATATATAACGTTCCTTTGCGGGCTGAATTGTTGATAAAGGCCCCTTTCCGATGCCGTTAAACCCAAAAGTGCACGTATATAGAGGACAAAACAAGTTCCTCTCGAGGAGCTTCTTCTTTTAGCATTAATTACACGTACGTTGCTATCTCTCGCATACTCGAAAAGTGCGTTTAACTGTCGCGTGTACGGCAGCGGCATTTATCGCATAAAAAATATATATGTACGTAAAATAAAAACGATCGTATCGCGAGCCAAAAGAGAAGCCGTATCAGAATCGCTATATACGCGCGCAATAAATGCGCGGCAGCAACTAACTAACCAACTATAACCGCCCGTCCGTTTCAGCTTTCGACAACTCCAAGTTATTCGGTAGCTGCAACACCGGTTTATCGCAATCGGACCTGTCCATTTGCAGCGAGGGCTCGGCCAATCCCAGCTACCGATACGGCAATCAATTGGAATACGAAGCCGGCCATTTCGGCTATCCAATGTACGATTCGGCTGCAGGTGCTCAGGCTACTAGCGGCGCTGCTGCTGGTGGCGGTGGCGGTGGCGGATGCTGCTACGAGCAACTAATACCCACGACCCACATAGCCTCGAGCTCGAGTTGGCTCGAGTTTGACAAATCGCCCGACACGGAAAAGACCCTGCTCGAGGATTCGAAAACGCCGAGCATGGAGAAGGACATGGATCGTAACGTGAGGACCTTAATTACTTCTTTCTTTTTCTCTCTAGCCTTGATAAACAGAATTGACTTTCAATTAAGAGTGAATTAATTTCCGTTTTTTTTTTCATCATTTGTAGACTCTGGATAAGACGATTAGAGAAGATCTGCTGCCGATGGATTCCAGTTCATCCATCGATAATCATCCTGACAATTTGACGGATCTCGACGATTCGGGAAATAATAATGCAAACGTTCGATCAAGTGCGAATCCAAGCACCGACAACAATATCGCCTCGAAATTGGAGTTGCAGCAATCGCTCAATAAACCCGTCATCACGGGTGCCATCATGAAGGACGAGATGAATCTTCATCATCAGGACGATACTTTTCAGGAGCAGCAGCGCAGGCTCGGCAACGGCACCTTGATCCCCGACTCCACGGTACGATATACATTTAATAAAACGAGAATCCTCTCTATGCCTCTTTCATTTTGTCCACCAGCCCTTTTACAAAATTTATATAACGAATTCAATGTAATTTGCGCAGACGAATTTGGATAAAAACGATCAGCAGCCGCTGCAGCAGCAGCAGCAGAATAATGGCACGTTAAAGCCGGAGGGTAGTAATTTCGTGCCCGCACACAAGCGCACGGACAGCATACCGCCGCGACTGAACGAGACGACGAGTCTCGAGTGCAGTAACAAGAAGCCACCGCTAGACATATACAGCCAAATCAAGACGAGCATATTGCCTGGCCTGAGCCCGAAGTTTGAGCTTTTACAAAACGAAGTCTGCAATTCCGTTGATGAAAAGGAGAGTTAATCCGTCCTTTCACAAGGGGTGGACGATGATGATGTTGCTGCGCCGCTGATGATTTAAGTTTCGTTTATAGAGAGAAGAGGACGCGTCGTTATATTATGAATGAATTGACCCCATACACATTCACACACACACACAAAGTTCAGAGGAATAATTTCTCCGTTTGACCTTGAGATCGACGATTTGATTTATATAATGATCCCGAGTTTTCGCGCTCGAACTTGATGTCAACGTCAAAGGAATATTATTTTAAAAGTAAAAAAAGAAAATATGTATATTACGTGTATAGGACGTTTTAGAATCCGATGCGCCCTAGACTCGTCATTGATGCATCTTTCTCCGATATTTTAACGAGGAGAGAGGCTTTCGACTGCGGAGAGACGGATTCTTACCAAATACTTATTTTAATAGTTTCTATAAGTAAAAAGAGAAGGTACGTATTTTTTCTCTAGTGCGACCTGGAACATGGTTTTAAAAATAAAGAGGATTTAAAATACACATAATTATCGTTATTACTTAAATCTTCATAATCACATCCAATTAAGAATGTATTAAACATGAAATCTTTGACGAGACTTCAATATTAATTTTTAATCATTTTATTATATGTTTTTATTTTAACATCAAGAAACTGTAAAAAAAATTACGTAAGAATCCGTACCCCCAGTCGAGAGTCTCTACTTGTGAGTATCGTACACATACGACTTTGAATCTGCTTCCGACGAGTCTCGAGGTGGACGAAAACTCGTCGGAAAATTTTAATGGAAGTGCCACATACTATATAGATATATAAATAAATGTAAAATTCAGTCGGAGGAAAGGTTAAAAGGGCTGACATAATATATACGAATATAGCCGTACATACATACCATATTTGATCGGGCGAATATTAGAGGAAAAAAACTACGGTAATTTCAATACTTGCGGCATTACGCATGTGTAAACTGAATCTTCGTAAATATACCTTCTAGCGCATTTAATTGGAAATTCACGGGTCAGTCAGTTATCGTTAAAGTTAACTTTATATGAAAACTTCTTACAGCCTGGTGCGATGCGTATGTGAGTTCTCTCCCCCATAGGTTTGTTTTTCATTCGACTTCCATGTGCGTATCGGGGTTCGCCATAGATAAAAAGAGATGTTATATTTATGATAAAATAGTAGATGGGAATTATTTCAATTAATTTAGCTTTCAACAAAACAAGTGTTAAACGCCCTTGGCTTTTTGATTGCGAAATAATACGTAATGTTCTATTGTAATACTTTCGAAACGTGCTATTCAAGAAAATTACTCGAGTACGGCGAATTTATCTATCGAAAAAAATTGATTCGAATAATTGTGCCAAGAACAATCCGAAGAACTCGTGTATTGGCAATGTATAAAGCAGTATTAACAAAAATTTAATTTTTGCTGCGATATCTACGAATAACCGAATATCTGTAAATTTCATTAAACAATGACTGGTGAAAAAAATAAATTTGTTTAATTTTGAATTGGAAATTACAACAGTTCACAATAAAATTGATAACAATTATGCAACTGGTTAAAAACTTTCTGTAACGCTGTATTAATTATCGAGTTGTTTACGCTAACATTGCAAAATACTTGACTAGATTATCATTAGACGGCATCAAAATGATTGAGTTTGGATTTGATAAAGTGGTAAAAAATTTTGAATACTTGAAAATGATCGATACATGCAAAAAACTAAGATAGTTTTGCATAGAAAAATTAATTGATTTCCAAACATTAATATTCAATATTCTCTTCTAAACATATAAACAATAAAAATGCTATTGCATGATTACATAGTGAGATGAAAATATTTATAATTAAATTACTGCATGTGATGACCTTGATCGTTCTGAGACTTGTTACTTGTTATCGTGAGCAGCCAATTGTTTGAATGAGTTTATAGATGAGTTGTCATAAGAATTATCGCGAGTATGCATTATCTAAATTGGCAAAAATACTGGAATTTACGAATATAAATTGGATGAGGGATCTGCAAAAGTTTGATTTATTCGAAGCGTGTCTATTTTCAGAGAAAAATCAACTATCCGAAAACCAATTAAATTGTCAAATACTATTGTGTATGTAAATATATAAATTATGTATTAAAATCATAGAAATTGTTATGAACGTAATACCTTAATTATAATTAAATATACCGTCAGATAAAATCAGAATTACGTAATAAGAGATAAATTATGTTGAAAGACTTTTCTCTTTATAGGTACCGATAACATTACCATTAATGATAATAATAACATTAGTTTTTAGTGACTCGGGCGTACTTTGTGCTCGCGATTTTAGTGTGATTGCCGTGATACTGTAATCGGAATTTTATAAAAATAAATTTAAAAAAGCTTAAAAAATTAAATGTACCCTGTATGGTTAACGACAAAATAACACGAACGAATTATTATTCGAGCGAGGCTGTATCGATTCGATATAATACGTATAGATACAATACATGCTGTTTATTTACATAGACGATAAAAAATCTAAATAAATAAATGAATAATAAACAATCATAGGCGAATAAGTGCGAGTAAGTTTTTTGCAAAAAAAGTAAAAACCGATCGATGGACTTGCGTGACATATATCATTTTTTGGTATGTATAAGTAAAAAAAATTATACAAGTAGTATGCGCGTATGTTTACATTCGTCTGATAACCTACATTGGTTAAACTTGGTTATTTTTTTAATCGAATCGCGAGTCGCGTAGAGGAGCCAATGTAACGGATTTTCATAAGCTTTTTTCTCATTGTTACTCATGCGTACTTATAATAGTAGTTGATGATCCAAGATCGGAAGGCGCGGTCATGTATCCTATACTCGATTGTTCTCTCACTCTATCTTAATTGATATCTTTGTCTTGTAATACGAGATTTAATGAGCGAAAAAAAGGAATGAAAAAAGCAACTCAAGCAAATACTGTGGTTAATAAGTAATAACACTGTAGAAGATTTAGCCCTGAACGAGAATCGAAGAAAGACATTTAAAACCAATCGCGCATGGAAAGTACATAATAATATACCATTTACTAACCAAATGTGTCATTGGTAACTTGAATAATTTTCAATAGTTCGCGACAGATTTAGCAATATCTGCTGCGATTTATTGATGATATTATTGAACATTACAACATCATTGGTTGTTTTTTTAAACTATTCGTTGAATGTTTGAGCTGTATATGTAAATTTTATAAAACGATACTTTTAAAAGTAGATAAATTTAAAATGATCTATACAGAATTTACTATTTATTACCGAAACTTGGTACAAATTTAAATTGTTTTTTGATATTAACGATATTAATGATGTTAGTTTTTTCATATTTTAAATGTAATTTCATTGTATATTTATTTACACCTGTTGTTTTCGGAAAAAAATCAAAAAAACTCAATCATCGAATAAAATTTTGATATCTTTAAAATATTGTAAAAGATTTAGCATTAAAAAAAATTAACTGATAAAATAACAGATATACATATGATAAAAATAAACAAAAAAAAATTAGTGTACTTGAAAATAATCTGTACCTATACGCTTCGGATCAACGTTGAGAGAAAAAAAAAACAATTTTTTGATTATGAACAATTGGAAATGGGACAAGAAAAAGGCAGATAGTTTTTCGAAGCGTAACTGCTCTATTTATTGAAAAATCGAAAGTACATTATAACGTAATAAACATTTATTCGTATAGAGCAACAGAAAAAAAACCTTCTCAAAAATTAATGTCGTTTATGGAAAGGAAAATACGTGTTGATTTTCAAATTTTCCATAAAAGTATATTGTTGTATGTGTCAATTTATTTTGCAAAATAAACTTTCAAACAATACAATCGAAATCGCTTCTCTCTTTTATTAAATATATGTTTTTTCACCTATGGCCTAATAAATTTTGAACGTTTAGATAAGAGCAAATTCAAGGTCTATAATTCGATTGAATTCTATGCGGGTTCATCGACAGATAACAAGAGAGGTTTTACCGACCCGTTAAAATTTCCCCAAGTATAACGAGGTGGCACAGCTGCTGCTGTAGATCTGTAGTAGCTGTTATCATCGACAGATACGCTCAGAACTTTCCCGAGTATAGCAGCGGCAGCGACCTCGGATACCCAAGGGTGGCAACCCTTCTTGTGGCTCCCTCTACCGAAGGGTTGACACAACACAACTACTCGCTAGCTCCCATAACGAGGGAGGCTGCGATGAATATTTTCGCCGCGACGAGAGGGGGTGTGCTTGCGCGCGCGACAGCTCGCGAAACCTATCGGTCATTTTTTCAAGCGCACAGCCCTCAGCGGCGGCGGTGGCGCGGCTGCTGCTGCTGCTGCTGCTGTCTCTCTCTTACTCGTGCCCGGCGCGCTCGTTGAATTATGCATGCGTGTTTTTAATTCGGTAATCAATAGTAAAAACCACCCTTGTCGCCCTCCGCAGCAGCAGCAGCGGCAGCAGACGCACAAGCACAGGTTCATCGCTTGCTCGCGCTGCCGCTCTCATTGGCGCCCCATTTTATTATAGGGTGGAGCTACATCACATTGCAAACGCGTAAAAGAGAGAGACCGAGCGAGAGATTTTTTTTCAACCTGTACGCCACCCTCTTTATATTCTCTCCTACTCCTCCGCGCACCCAACGTCCCCGTCCTCCTCCCGACCACTTCCTCCGCGCGCGCACTTGTTATGACTGCATATAATATTTTGTATCGGTAAGCTTCGTTATTTATGCATATATAATAATAAAATGCTTTTATGGATGATCTGGTGCAGTAATTTATTATTATGTTCATTATTGTATACTTGCGCGGCGGCACAAACTGCGCCGCGCGTGCGATATTTAAGCTATGGCCGCGCGCGCGTATAGTCTTTTTTTTTCACCGCACCGTGAATAATGAGAGCTTGTGCTTGTGTGTATATATGCTATCCAGGGCCATTATAAATATGTGAGCGATATAAATTGGCAAAATCATAATGCATTATGCATGTGTAATCGAGAAAGAGAATTTTCAGCAGCAGCAGCAGCAGTACCAGCGCGAGATCAGGGGCAGAAAACACAGTAGCCTGAGCGCAGCAGCGGACTTCCACAATGTTTCGTTTTTATATTGAATAGCTAAAATATACAAATATACGAGGGATGAATTTTGAAACGCTCGCGCGTATATTCATTATGATTTTATTGTACCAAGCAGCAGCGCAGCACCAGATCATTCTATTAATTCAATGCTTCTTTCAATTTCAGCGAGAGAGAGAGCTACGCAGCTGCACAGTGTATTTATTTATTTGTTACGTAACGAGGCTATTTTGTGTAAAATTGCGCACGGAGATTTCGAACGCTCGGCTAAAAATGTATATTGACCTTTCAGGAATAGCCAGCTCCGCGTGAACTAGATGAAAAGGTGAATTTCTTTTTGTAAACTTTGGTATTCTTTCGTGCTGCATGCCCAGGTCGCATGAATAAAAAAAAAGGTATCGCTTTAACAAGTTTACAGCGGGAGCGTGAGAGCATAAAAATTAATCCGTCCTAAATACAATATTAGATTAGTTATATTCGCTGGATGAAAATCGAGGCCAAGCTCGAGCGACCACCACTACCGTCACTAGTCACGAGCAAGAGCAATTTATTTAATAATACATAACGCGATGGAAGAGCTTTAATACTTGCGGAGAGTGTCAAATAGAAATTTCGGCGAAAGTCATCATCTTTCCCGAAACACGTGATCTTTTCTCGCGGTGACCGAACTTGCGATCATCGTCTAATTGCCGAGTTCTGTCTTTCTCTCTCTCTATATATACAACACGTGTAGCGCAGTGGTAGTAGTCGTGAGAACGTCGCAGAGACACGATGAGAAAAAGGAGAGCGATATATAGACATATATCGTGTATATATAGTTGCAGTAGCAAACGAAGGAGCTGCTGCTGCTGCAGTAAATTTAATGACTGCGTTGGTTACAACATAACAACAAGCCCATGGATGGCCCGCTCGAAGAAAGAGAGAAAAAAGAAGAGAAAAAAAAAGCAAAATAAAGACTACGAGTATAGCGGCAGGTGCGCTCGCTCGCTCGCGAGAGAGGATTTTTGCTCCTCGTGCTACTATCTTTTCGTTTGTTTTACATGCGCGGCACGTGGGATTCGTATAATGCAGCCCACAGACGAGTATATAAGCAGCGGTGGTGGCGGTCGCCCCGGCTCCTCGTGTTAGCGTGGCTGTATACATGCACTATATAATATAATAGATGTATAGAGTCAATTGCAGTGATATGCTGCAGGGGACGGGGGATGGGACGGACGGGTTTATAATAATGCCACGTGATCATTAGCGACGAAACGATCTCTCTTCGTTATTGTATTAACAGAGAGTGAGAGAGAGAGAGAGGAGCTTAACGACGTGTTGTCGCGGGGAGTCAAGCGCATTTACGCAGTTATTTTTAAAAGATGCGCTGCTGCGCCGTCAGCAGCCAAGCCAAGACGACGTCCTTATAAGCGTCTCTCTCTCTCTCTCTCTCTCTATGTATATGACAAATTACACAAAGTACATATCCAAAACAACTCTTATCTTTCTGCCTACCCATAGCCACCTCTACACCTCACTCCTACCACCCTCGTGTGTAGCTTTCTCTCTGGCCAGAAACAAAAGAGCAACGAGCGCACAGCACAGCACAGCATTTCTCTAATTAAGAGGCAGATATTGCGCGACACGCCGTTCGCTCGCTCGCTCGCTCTCGTTTTATATGCGTATGTACTACGACGCGACGCGTGCGTTACATGCGCGCACACCCCCTTTTTTTCGTAATAGGACTAGAAGGGATGCATTCCTATGGGCAATGTGTGTATAGTATAACACGCGCTCACTCGTTCGCGATCGAGTTGACTTTTATGCATATTTTTTTTTTTTTTTTTTGTTCGCGTAACTCCGAGAGAGAGAGAGCAGCGTATGTCCAATTATTTTTTCCTCTCTCCTATACAGAAAACGAATTTGAAGCAGCTGTGTATGCGAATGCTACGTATGTAGCTGCTCGGCTGCGACGAGTACAGTAATAGTATACGCGATTAGCGAGAATTTAATTGTCATCGGAGCACAGAGCAGAGTAGCGCTTTCCTAATAAAGAGAGAGACACAGAGAGACGCAGAGAGAGAGAGCTTTTTTCTCCCACCCACTCGTGTTTTCCCCTGATCCCTTGGCTGCTCCCACGTCGACGCGACTCTTTCGCGTTGCGTGTACGGTATATATAATATTATGCATAGATGAATGCCGGGATGTATGAAAACGACAAAATTGTACACATTTCGAATCAATACGCGCGCGCGACGTCGCTATTCTCTCTCTCTCTCGCTTACGCTCGTGTATCAGCGGTGTGTAAGTGCGTATATGAATGTGTATGTAATTTTGTACATAGGCGCGCATAACGATCCGACGAACGACGACTACGACGACTACGACGTCGGGGAAGTTATCTCTTTCTCTCTCTCTCAACGACGATGACGACGACGACGACGACGACGATGTCGAGAAGGGATGCTGCCGCTGTTTTATAGGGAGAGAAACTAGCGGGGTTGAAAAACTTGCTGCTTTCTGTATACATACATACTACTACGAAAAGGGAGGAAGAGGGCGCGAGTTAAAACTCGATGTATTATATACGTAGGTATAGCCGCGCGCGAGCGTATAACGCGAGTAAAAAGGCAAAGGAAAAGGGACATGGCTTGCTGCGACTGTAGCCGTGTGTACTGCGTAAGAGGGGTAGAGTAGAGAGAGAGAGGAGTGAGACTAGACGCGTAAAAGAGGCTAAAAAGTATATACTAGGAGGCTTTTCTCTCGCTCTTTCTCTCTCGGTAATATTGGTTATATATTCTCCCATCTTTCTCTCTGTCGAATATAAAGGCTCTCTTTTTATTGCGTCGACGATTCGAGGCCGTGGCTCGCTCGCTCGCGTTGCTAGCTATACGACGAATGCGCGACGACTACTACTTTTACTACTACAGCGCGAGTGCGACAGTGCGGCCACACGTACATCGCTGTACGCGTTTCATTATATTATATCAAAAACGTTATAGGGACGTCCACGCGGGAGCCCAGGAGATATCGACTTTTCATACGTTTCGGGATGGGCGCGATCGCCTATTTTCTTTATTTCTCATAATTCCCTGCGCATTTCGCCCGTTCTTATGCTGACAGTCGAATTGTTAATATAATTGTCACCCAAATATTTACACGCCGTGCGAATTTATAATATAATTTCGCACATTTGCGCGACGATCGAATCGTCTAAAAAATAAGCCCTTGATTAAATCGCGTGCATAGAACGATCAATTGCCAATCGACGGCCGCCCGCAAAATGTTGCTTTCGAAAATAGTTTGTAAA